TGTAATCCGGGAGGGTGGGTGGGTGGGGGCTTTAATTAGTAAAACTCCAAGAGCTGTGCTAACTAGAAGTGCCTGGAGCATGGTAATTACCGTACTCCAGACTCCAGTGTCCCAGTGCTGAAAAATGTCTATGGGGTACTTTAAACTAAAGCTTGTTGAATGAGCTTTGGTTTAAAGCGCCCCGTCATAATTTTTCAGCATGGGGACACTGATATACATGACGCTGGAGTCTGGAGCATGGTAATTACCACGCTCCAGTAGACTTGATTAATTCAGTCTGCTTTGAAGCGCTGTAATTACAGTACAGTGGAGCAGCCTCCCTGCATGTGTACAGGAGCCCTTGAAGAGCAGAAAGCTTGCAGTGCTGATGCTGCACCATCAGGGGAGCCTCTATGAAGACATCTAGGAGTTCTCTGTACACTCCTTCAGTCTTCCTGGCAATGCATGGCAGCAGTGTGAAGGGCAGCCTTGATTTGGTGGAGCCAGACTTCTTGGAGTTAGCTTGTAGCGTCCTGCAGCACAATGAGGAGTTGTGAAAGGGTTTTATTCTGCTCCCAGCTTGTCTGGAGCAACAGAGTCCAGTAGGTGACATGCTGTCTCCCAGGGCAGGGGGGAGAGGTGGAGGGTGGGCAGGAGCAAAGGATTCTGTGTGCTGGAACACCATACTGTGGCTTCTCTCAGAAGGGTAAATTGTGCAGGCGTTCACTTTTCGGAGAAACTCTCCTGTTACTGTCAAGTTACTTAACTTGATTTGTTCCCAGGTTATTTTTCTTCCGGAGTGATTATGTTTGCTATGGGATAAATCCTGAACTTCTATATACTCGTGGTATTTCTTGGGGCAGCAACAACTCTCTCATGATAAACTGAATGTCCATATGTAGTTGTAATCTGGCTCCCTCAGATCCTTAGAAGAAGCCACAAAGGAGTGTCTGCTTAAATGGCACTTAAAGATGAGCTCCAGTATTTTGCTTACTACTTCAGCTTATGAGACTCATGGTTCAGAAAGATCAGTTTTTCTTTGTCATAACTCTTCTTGTGATCTATTACAAATATGTTGGGTCTGACTTTCCTCATATCTGGAAAACTTGAGGACAAGGGATACTTTACGTCCATTCCTTGCTGCCTCCTCCTTAACCAGCAGGTAGCAGGCCTGGTGTTCGATGTACTTGTGCTCCAGTCTGTACTAGAGACTTTAAGGCTCTGGTGTGCTCCCAAGGCTGGCAGTGCCAATCAGTGTTCTGGAAGCTCAGTTACAGGTTAATAAAGAAGACAGAATTTTAAATGCAACTTAATTTGAACACTTGTTACAACTTGTTGACTGTTTAGTGAGAAATGAAGCGCAAAGAGGCTAGCTTCTAGATACTGATGCAAGACCTGGGAAATAACCGGTGCTCCTCATTATTTTTTGAGGAATATGGGAGTCCTAAGCCTTTTAAGACTTCTATGTGTCTCTTCTCCTTTCTGGGATGATGGTTATAGGATTCAGAAATAGATTCTAATTGTTAGAAGGAAGAAGGACAATCTTGCATATTGACATATTCTAACATATGATATAAAAACCACTTAATACTTAACTGGATTCATATAAATATGTAATTGCTTGGTGGAGCTAAGATCCACTATTTTAGACAAAGTTCATGAAGTAAGTCTCTTTTTTAAATCCATCCCTATCTTTCATTCTCTTGTGTCCTGATCAGTATTCTGTGTTCTACAGGATGCTCAACTTCCATTAAAGATTTGATTTCTAACAATGTCATAATCTTACTTTAAAGGCCCCAAACTGTTAATCCAGGGTGGTTTCAGAGATTTGGTTACATATTTGCATCTCCACCTAAATTATTGCTTAAATGCATTTTT